AGGTTTGGAATTTCTTCTTCAGAAATTCCTACCCCTACAGCATAATAAGTCACGTAAGCATAATGATAATCGATGATCCGAAGGAAATAACATCAGCATACCCGTATCAGTAACTTCCAGTACGACAACTTCTTTATTGTCCTTCCTATCAGCATCTAATCTTACAGTGATACCACCATTCCATGTGTGTTTGAAAGCATTCGAACCTACCATAATAAGAATAATTTATTGCTGTGTATGTACACACATAAAAAGCGCATTAAAAAAAAAAAAAGAATTTGAAATACTTACATAGATTGAAGATTATTTTTTCATACATTTCCAAGTCGACAAAAACTTTTTTTTCCAACCTACTATCAAAATTATCGGGTATTTCCACTCGATACTCCAATTTAAATAATTTAGCCATACTTTCAAAATTAGCCGCTAATTCCGATGTTAATTGTCCAATATCAACTTCATGATAGTTTGCTTCTATTTTATCAGATTCAATACGTGAAAACTATCAAATAAAAAATTGTTTGGATTTAATTAACGTAAACTTTAAATTTAGAACCAATTCAATCTATTTTACCTGTAACAACGTATTGACTAATCTGAGCAGACGTCTCGTATTTCGTTGTATCATACACAAATGCGAATACATGGGTACATCACGAGGGCACTCTTCCAACACTTCTTCGAGTGGAGATAACATGAGTGTAAGCGGTGCTGAACATTTTTCAAATTATTCAAGTAATTAATAAATTTCAAAGAAAAAATATATTATACAGATATATATATAATATGTATATATAGAATATTATTAATATTTATAATACTTACTACGTAATTCGTGAGAAATGTTTTGAAAGAATGAGATTTTTTGATCATTCAGACTTGCAAGCATCTCAGCTTGTTTACGTTCCTCTTCTCTAAATCTACCATGCGAAAGACTTGCACTTACTTGACCTATTACGAGCTACACACACCATAAAATTAATATATAATATCACGTGGCCAACAAATTAAAAAGGAGTCGTTTCGAGTTCAAATTAAAATTTCGTACGTGCAAGAATTCCATATATTCTTTATCAAGCGCTCTCTGTTTATTAATTCCAATAATAATGATAGCAGTTAAATCACCTGTTGTATTTTTCACCGGAAACAACACAGCATGCGTATAATCTTTCAATGTCACGGTGATATGAAAATTTGTTCTCGCAACATATTGTAAAGGCCAACTTGAAGAGAAATCTGGACTAGTGATAATTTTCTCTCCAGTTTCGAACAGCGTACAAAACTTTGGATCATTATCCAAACCAGACGATAAAGCATTTGATTTGCCCGGTTTAATACAAACAGTAGACTTTATTATATTGCCATCACTTTTTATTAATTCGTCAATCTCATCAGAAACATTTGCCAAGTCAACTATTTCTTCAGTATCCAACAAAAAGTCCGGTAAAAAACGCCTTAATTTATCTTCCGCAACACTTATTTCATCAAATCCATCAACTTTTTGAAGATCTAAATCTTCGTCGAATGTTGTGGCAACTAAATGGGCTTTCGGAGTATCAGTTGAGGGTGTGTTTGAAGTTGCGGAATGATTTTCTATAAGATAAATTAAGGCATAAGGCATATCGGCATTATTGTTGCGTATTGTTTGTGTTATTAAATGACATGCATCCTTAACTGATTTCGCTCCTATGTGAATGATTAGCATTAATCACGTGAACACAAAAAAAAAATAATCGGGGCCTTATAAATCATCATTTGTTGAATCACCTGGAGTCTTATTGCCTAACTCCGTCAGAGCTTTGAGTCGCCTATTTGCCAAGACTCTCTGTGTAGTCTCTTGACTTGCGTTTAATATACCACCCATTGATCCATCTTCTTTAAAGATTGGACTTAATGTGAATGAAGCATATGTCTCTTCAACGTAACCATCTCTATCAGTTACAAAAAGCATATCATTTTCAAATCTCCCTTTGCGTGTAGCCATTACTCTAATTACAGAATTGAATAATTAACATTCGATATGAATTGTAGAAATGAACGAATATCAAAAATTTCTTTGTAATGAAGAAATGTACTCATTAAATATCGGTTCGGTTGTATGGTGGGTTTCTGGCCACACTTCTTTGAATGGCTTACCCAATGCTAAATAAAAAAAAAAGATATATCAAAAAAAAAAATCAGAAATTCACATGACATCGTACCAAGGACCAACCTTGAGGATGTTTCATTTTTAATATCGGTCTCCACACTATATGGAATGGGAATATTTAAGAACGAAATTATGAAATTAATTAACTCGGAAAATTTAACAAGTTGAGTCAACTTGATAATGACGTTACTTTGGTTATATATAGAGACGAACTCGGGACCATAGTATATCGATATCGGAAAAACTGAGTGTAGACATAAATTCTAAATTAAGGTAAATTACAATGGATCTATATCAAGTAAAGACGTCCAAGAAAAATTATTATCCATTGAAAAACTTACCACAGTGGATTTGAGAGTAGAATCCCATGTTTCCATAGGACCCAATGGAGTAGAGGACCAGTCATGGGATGCGACCAAGTCAACCACAGAGATTTCGTTATCTAATTGATTAGGAGGTTCGGTACTTCCGATAAACGACATATAAGCTTTTTATTACAGATTGAATATGGTAATAGTTAAAAAGAGAGAGTGATAAGATTTTTAAAAAAAGTAATATAATAATAATATAATATAATATTATCTACAATAAATTAAATAATAAATGATCAATAATAAAAAGATTTTGATGTTCCGAACTGGATTTTTTGAGACCTCTTTTTGCACGGCGTCAAACAATACTTTTTTTTTTTTTACAACAAAAAAAAGGCCCGAAACTTTAATTAAGTTACGTCCCTCAAATAGAAAAAAATTCTCCTTAACTATATTACTAAGTTTATGTTTTTTGTGATATCATGGTTGGCGTAATAAAATACTGCGCAAACCCTTAACATGCTACACCGCATATTTTCTTTTTATTCGTGTTCTCATAAATAAATTGGGAAATTTCTTTTTTTTTTTTTTATTAAAGAACCAGTGAACTTGTAAAGAGAAGAAATCAGAATAACGGATCTTCGAATATCATTAGCACATTCAATTTATTGAACAAAATTGATTTTAGGTAATAATTTGCTTAATTTGGGCATAAAGAAATTCAATTTCTGAAGTTTCGTTTAAATCACGGCTAGTTATTAATAATAAAAAGAACTTCCAGTACTAAACTATTGTTAATCACGTGGAAGTTGACATCAGGTTTCATAAAGGCAGAGAGATGTACCAAACAAAAGCGATGTTAAACCAGATTGAAAAGTAAAATTGAATACAAAAGCCTCTCTTTTATCTGTCTCTCAATGATTTGTTCGAAATTCCACAAACCTTTATTGAACGAGTGTTTGTGATGGAATCTATTCCGTTTATCCCGCCAATAGATAAATTTCTGGTTTTATTGGCTTGATAAGAAAATGAGTCGATGAATTGATGATTTCTCCGAGACACAAAATACTCAACCTCAAACACAGCCGCATAATCTTTTTTCTTTAGAAAATTTTATCACATACTTGACAATTTTTTTTTTTTTCATTTCTTTTTTCATTTATCATCTCTCCAAGAAATTATAACATTATGCGTTCTTGAAAAAAACCTCACATCGGATTTCAAAATGTAAAGTAATTACATCACAAACGTGATAAATATGATGAAAAAGTTTATTTAGGTATTCTTTGTTCTTCATTAACAAAAATTCTTCAATTAACTCTTGTAAGATTTTTTTATACATTTTAACTTTTTTATTCACAAAGATTTTTAAAGAAATTTTTTATGCAATTGCTTTTTTTTTTTAATGACACGAGAAAGGAAAATAAAAATAAAATAAACAAAATCTAAAATTTTACATTATTTTTTTTTTTTTTAAAAATATTTTTTTTTTAAAAAAAAAAAAACCCACAAACAAAAATCTCGAATCAGACAGATCACATCCTCCTTTAATTCTATAATATTTCTGCTGTAACTTTTTAAAATAGGTTGTTTTTCTAAGAAAAAAATAAAAACGGAAGGAAAAGAAGAAAACAATAAATAAAAGGGAAAAAAACTAATAATACAGATTTTTTTTTTTTTTAAAAAAAAAAAAAAAAAAAAATAATTTCTATATTAAAATAAATATTCTTTTTTTTTATCTAGATAACAACCGCAATAACTCATTGATTACTACTGCACTTTTTTTAATAAATCCCAACCTGCAATCGACTGATCGATTTGGTCCGGAGCTGCGTCAACCAAACCATATATTCATTACATATTATTATTACTGCTATTAGAATAATAAATTAAGCTAAGTAAAGAATTCCCTCGGTCTTTTTTTTTTCATTAAAATTCCAATAAGACGGCAGTAAAACTAAAATCTAATTTTTTTTTTTTTAACTCTCAAATTATATAATAAAGGAATTATAAACGGACATCGTTAAAAATCTTAGCTATATGCAACAAGTGACAAAAACCAATGCAGAAAGTACCATAAGGGAAACCGGTTAGATAAGAAAACATAAGATTTGTCATAAGTTTCCAGTCAATTACGGTTATTTGGTTATTTCCCATTTTTTTCTCAATTATCGACATTATATCAACACGATATGAAAATAGTCACAGAAAATCGCGCTCAAAAACCCCATCCGAATAATGTCTACTGAATTAAATATATTTTTTTTTTTTTTTTTTTTGCAGGAACAATTTTTTTTTTTTTTTTGAATAAGCCAGCTTTTTTGTCAAAAAATCAAAATAAACCCGTGAAATAATTGGGTTTATTTTATAAAAATATTTATATATTCAAACTTTCCATAATGAACCAAAAGAAGTCTTTGGCCTTGGACGTTCACACAGAGTACCTTTTTTTTTACAAAGTAGAAATTAAACCAACCGCAACAAAGGAAAACAATTTTTCAACTTTCAAATTACACATATTCTAACTCAGATAGTCTCTCTTATTTATTCAAGTTCTCTATTGATCCAACTTTTAATTCTAATTTAAGCGAAGGATTGAAGTAACTTCTTTTTATTATCCCAGATGAAGTCTTGAGTTGACTATTCTTGATCTTTGACTGTATTGGATTTGTCTCCGTCATGGAAACAGCCCATTGGGATTGGGGTGTGGTTGGCGAAGTTGGTGTAAGTGGTAATTTGGATGCAAAGTCAATATCCATAGCATTACAATTATTCTTATCATCTATGTCACAATTTAAATCATCGGAGTCTTCCATCTCATTGTTTGTGTAATCTGATATATCCAACGGTATTGTCGGAGGTATAACCTCTTGGGGAAGATTAGCAACCTCGATAATCTGATCAAACTAAACTCATCGGAAGAAAAAGAGATTTTAAAATTTAATTTTTTGAAGTATTTATGCCTTATATGATGCTTGCAAAATTTCAAAACCTACCTTTACAAAATGCATTTTATGTATTAGGAATCTCTCTCTCTGTACTGCTTCTAATGCTCCAAGTTCTGAAGGACGTTTACATTTCGGTGGAACCCATACAATTGAACGAAGACAAGGCCATAATCTTTCCTTTTCTATAGAGGTAACTTCTCTTTGAACTAGATTTGGATGTTTTTCCAATAAAGTGGATAATGGGTATTGTAAAAACAGTTCCACTTGGAAATCGACAACGAACAAAGGAGAACTTGAAGGTTCGGCGGTTGCGGCTATTGGAAATCCTGGACGATCTGTGACTAGTTGTACCGTATAAAATGGACCGACATCATTGTTGGATATTTTAAGAATTGGATTTTCCTGAACATTAACTAGTTCCATTGGTTCCAAATCTGTATTTATAATATGATTCACTTTTATTTTTTTAGTGTTTGGTATTGACGACTCTTCGGAAGATTCTTCGCCTGATAAAATCCTGTCATCATCATCTTCTTCTTCTTCATCTGACTCAATTCTCATCTGATTTGGTGTGTTGTCGGTTTGGGTACCCGAATAATCATCGGGATCCAATTCAAGGGAATCACAGAGTAATTCCACAATATCTCTTCTTCTACGAGCCATATCAAGTGGAGTTTTACCATCAATATTTTTATCGTCAGGTTTAGCATTATTGGTCAATAGAATATTTACAACGTCACCATGACCTTTATGAGATGCATCATGAAGTGGAGTATGTTGTTTGTGATCTTTGATATTAACATCCGCACCTAAAGCTATTAGTATTTCAACAGTAGTAGTATGACCTTCATAAGCTGCCTCATGCAAAGCGGTCCGACCATTATGATCTTTAGCATTAATTAGAGCCCCAGCCTCGATCATGTTTGCAACCATTTCACTATTACCGCGCTTTGCGTTCAAGTGAAGGTTCGTTCGACCGGTTGATGGATCTTTAAATCTGAGGTCCATTCTCAAAACATCATTTGCCGAGGTAAACGCTCTTGCACCGTTATTATGTGTTTCACCATTTAACTTTCTACCGTCTCTAAATGAACGTCTTCTGGCACCTGTCGGATAAATATTAGACCTTAAGTTATCACTGCTATTATCATCACGTCTGATACGTGGCCTTCCACGTTTTCCCCCGCTCGATTGTTTTTTTGTCTCTTGCTCTTTTGAAGGTTGAAAGGTCCTCATAAAATGCGATCTCTTCCTTTGATTTCTAGGTAATATTGAATCACTAATTCGACTGTTATCTTCATCCTTTGGCTTTTTATCTTGTAATTGTCCTTGTTTATTAGTTTGATACACAGGAGTTCTGACAATTTCAACAGATGTCCTCAAATAATCTATTACGCGATCATCCGTTGCGTGATCTTCGGGTTTTTCCTCTTTTACATTTGTTTTTTCAGGATCTGCACCATATTGCATTAAAACCCAGACAACTTCTGCATGACCTTTAGCACTTGCGTCATGTAAAGGTGTGTCACCATCTTCAAATGAAGCAGCATTTACTTCCGCACCCTGTTCTAAAAGGTATTGAACAATCTCCAAATAACCAGCCAAGGCAGCTTCATGAAGGGATGTCCAGCCTGCATGATCTTGAGCATTAATGTCAGAGCCTCTATTTATTAAATCTACAACTTTTTCTAAATTTCCTACTTGACAAGCACGATGCAAATTAGTTTGTCCTGCTCTGTCTCTAGCATAGACATCATTTTCATCGATATCTTTCCGTCTACCACCAGTTCTCCTCTTATTTTGTTGTGTACCATTATTATTATCTTCATTGATAATGGGTTTTACCGGATTTTTTTTTCTACCAGGTTTACTTTTTTGTGCAGCCGGCCTTCCCGGTTTTCCTGGTTTCCTTCCTCTAGGTTTGCCAACTGTTTTACCAACTACACTATTTTTTCTAGGTACGGCATATTCTATAGATTTATAATCATCCTCATCATCACTATCTTTAGAAAGTTGTTGTTTTTTTGCTGGGCGACCTCTTCTTTTTGGTTGTGCAGTTCTACTTGGCCCAGCTCTTGCTGAATCATCATCTTCCTCCTCCTCTTTATATTCACTATCACTATCCATATCATCGTCTTTTGAGCCCACCGAACTTAATTCCGAACCATCATCGAAATCGTTATAATCGCCTTCAAAAGATGGGTGAGATCTACCACGTTTGCCCTTATTTTCATTCATATTTATGTCATCTTTCTTATCTTCTATTTGACTTGAATATCCAATTCTTTCTTTTTCTGCTTCAGAATCTTCACTTATAATTGTTGCACATTCGTCTTCAGAAATAGCATTTAATGCTTCAAGACTATTTTTTCCACCCATTCCTTTTTTTTTATTATTATTATTATATGGGTGTGTATATATTATTAAATTTCCGTCCCCCTTTTTTACCTTAGAATGATATTATTAATAAAAATAAAAAAAAATAATAAAAATAAAATAAAAAAAAAAATGTAGTTAAATTTTTTTTTAGAACTAAATTTTTTTTTTTTTTTTTATGAAATATATTTTTATATATATTTATATATTTTTAAAGTGGGTTTAAATAAACAAAAGACACCAAGATTTTAAAGATGAGAAAAAAACAAAACAAAAAAGTAAATAGATATATATTTATATTTATAAAAAAAATGTTTTTTAAATATACGTGAGAGTTCAAGAAAAAAAAAAGAAAAAAAAAAAAAAATACAAAATAAATAAATAAAAAATAATTTATTAATTAGGTTAGTGACATATATATATATATATACGATAAAGAATTATTTACCCACCTTTTTGAGTTCGTTAGTTGGAATCTCGTTCGTTTATTATTATTATTATTATAATTATTATGATTATTATTATTTTTGAAGAAAGAGGAAGAAGAAAAAAAAAAAAAAAATCCTTTGAAAGTTATGAAAAAATAAAGCCGAAGTGCAAGCACTTGCAGTATCATTCAATTAGGAAAAATAAGAGTTTTTATGATATGTTCACAACAGATAAGCAGAAAACGGCACAAACCCAAAAAAGGAAGTGGGCTGGGTTTAGTACTACTACGTTACGCCAATCATTATCAAAAATAATGGAAAAAAATTTTTTTCAAATCATGTGATATTGTGATCCGGAAATCGAAATCACTTTTAGCCCGGATCAAGGATTTTTTTATGTTATGCAAACACTCAAAAGCTTTGCAGGAACCTTCTTTTAACTCTTCAAATCAGAGCGAAAAAAAAAGAAAGAAAGAAAAAAAACGCGAATTTAATTAAATATCAATGGGGAATTGGGGCGTTATAATAATAGAATTGTTTTCTATTGATAAGAAAATATTGTAACCATTGGTTACTTTTTCACGCAATCAAATGAAAAGAATGGAAATTTTACAATGATCTTTTTCGCTAATTGCATAATACCTATACCGTTTATAGATTGCAATATAATAATATAATTACAAACATTTCTTTAGGATCCAAATAAGGGTTAATTATGGGAATTCATTTTTAAGGATCCCACCAAAATTTAAAAAAGATTTATTTATAGATCATATCCCAAAAAGTGAGACTTCTAATTCCGCCCCAAAATTTTACCATCCAATTCGGAATTCAGCCAAAAAAAAAATTTTTTTTTAAGGATAATAAAATAATGCTCGAGTAGAGTTTTAAATATATACTCGGTACAAATAGATAATTTTTTCAAAAAAAAAAAGGGGTGGTGAAAAGATTGCGTCAAGATTTAAATTATGTTATTTCTAGCCAAATGGATCGAAAGAAATATTTTGTATAAAAATTAGATTTCATGGAGCTAAATTAAACTCTTAAAATTCCAGTAAGCATATAACATCAAAACCTAAATTATGAAGACAAAATAAAAATTAGTTAATTAAAAATTTTCTTGAGAATCATGAGACACGCCAATTCCTTACAAAATATCAAGTACCATGATGTGATGAGATCATTTTCTAATTAGTTCATAAACATTTACTTTCCCCTCTTCGGCCAGAATTCCCAATCCTTGAACCGCAGTCATTTGAAACACGGTTTTCAATTTATCAAAAAAACGACCTTCTTCGTCTTTATTTAATCCTCTCCTTTTGTATCCAAGATATATCTTTGTACGGCCTGGAGTACACACGGCTATAAAGGTTTGAATAAGGGTATCAAATGATTCTACATAAAAAGAAAAAGGGAATCACTTAATATTAATAAGTTTATGGGAGTCATAAGGGTCACCTACCAGGTTCATACACGACGTCTGAAGCAAAGACGTAATCGAGAATTTCCAATTTTCTTATACTCGGCATATCTCCCCATTGTAATACTTTTACATCAATTTTCACTTTATTACAGGAATCCAAGATATATTGATTCAACGCCAAGTTACCACGGATTAATTTTAACGCGTGCTCCAAGTCGGTTATTATAATATTAGTTGTTGAATTATTCATGGTTTCTTCCGGTCTTCCAGAAGATAAAAATGCAGCCAAATATAAACCGACAAATCCGGTTCCCGCCGACAAATCCAAAATCCTCTTTCCAGTAAAAAAGTTTTGATCCTTAAAAATCATATCCTTAATCATTTGAACAATAATGAATGCAGAATCCCACACTTTTCCAGGAATTCCAGCATCCCACAATTCCTTAATTATCAAATACTTTCCATTTGGCAAAACGAAACCTCGGTAACTATCAACAAGATAATCATCAATATTCCAAGGACTTTTTTTACAAAGAGACACTAAAGTAGTTCTCTGTTTTGAATCCCATGAAAGATTATTAGATTGAATAGCATCATCATTATTTTCATTGGATCCACTTGGAGGTAAGTGATGGACGCAAGAACTAGAATACGCTTCACAAGTAACAAGACGAATAGGACCAATACTCAGGGGTACAAGGTAATTTTCATGTACACATCGATTTAACCCTTTATTATTTCCATTCATGGTATTATCATCCTTAACGCTATCGTCTTTAATATCATAGTTTAAAACTTCGTCACTTCTATTAATAACTTCTTGAATAGGATAGACATACAAGTATAATTGTTTGAGAGATGTTTTGGAAGAAGAATCTTTTCGCCAAAGTTTGTCACTTGAATTCCCATTAGAACCTTCAGATTTGCTTAATATATTAGATTCACCGGAAGAACAATTGAATTTGTTAAATTCGTTACATCCATTGGATTCTACGTGTTTTATCGACTTTACTATCCGAAACTCCAACCCTCCTTTACCCCCGTTTTGTACCCCAGCCCAATCTGCATCAGCGCAATCGCTCCATTCACGAGATTCTACACTCATTGGACGAACTTGAACTTCAAACTTTTCTTTTTCTGATCCTTCATTAATATTACCAATTTCCAGCAACTTGCATCCTAATGCATAACCTTGAACTCCATATAAGTCTTCTTTTCTAAATAATCCCACTTCACTGACAAACATTAAATCTAACGTATACCACATATTCACATGAATGTTGGGATGTAACGGTCTTCGCAGCAGCAAGCGATAGTGGAATTTCTTCGCGATTTCATCAAGACATCCCGCATCCCTATCTATTAAGCGAAATGCCTTGCGACCATCGTTGCGTCTTGCGGCTTCTTTCGCAACTAAATCCTTCATACGTCGTTGACGATCATTAACACAATGTAGATTGATTAAAATAGAATTAAATTTAAATTGTGCTATTAATGGAATCATGTGAGGTAAAAAAACTGAAAGTACCCCTTCCGTTTTGAAAGGGATCATATTATCTCTGTTTTTCTCGAATATTAGAGTTTTCAATGTGTCAAGATCATTTTTGGCACGCTCCCAACTCTCGAGTGATTCAAATGCCAAGCTTCGAAGCCATAATGCCAGAATTAAACAAAACGAGAAGTCTTCGGAATCAACCGAGAGATCGTCTAAAGGTAGGCTAGAAGTTGAGGCAACCGTTTTGGCGGCAATCTTTACTACTTCGGTGGTTTCCGATACAACTTGATGATGTTCTCGCATTTGTTGAAAACACAAAGCACGCGACAGAAAAATATGTTCTCGTGCTTCGTAACGTTTATTGTTTTGATCAGAAAGATTTGGTAATAAAGAATTAAGAAATTTGATAGCAGTAGTGTAGTCTCCAGAGGTGTATGCGTTGTTCAATTCTTCGAAACCTTTTGGTGGTATTGGGAAATCCTTCCAATTGGAAGGATGTTTATATTTATATGGTTGAGAGGGTGACATCTTTTTAAACTCTTTGAAGGGTTTTCGATAGAAAATACGGCTTACAAATAAATGAAAATTATTTAGTAAGAAACGAATGGAACGAATTAAACAGTCGACGATACGGAAAGAAAAAGAAATTTGTTGCGAAAGCTTTGCGAAGAAATTTTTTTTTTTTATGCACCTTTTTTTCAGGCACAGCAAGTAGATGTTACATAAATACATAAATGCCGATGTCACAATATAACTTGTTTTGCTGGTTACGTCATTTCAATTCTTGCTTACTTTGTTAACAATAAGCAATTTCATATGCCAAATAATTTCATTGACAGCAATTTTGCGTAACTCGATTTTCAATATACATACATATATAAACAGTGTACAGCATCGAAGTGGCGAACCTATGCTGTGCCACAGTTCGAACATTTCATCCAATAGAAGGATGACCCCTAATAATGAAGCATTTGCCACTTGGCTTCAATAATATTGCGGTAGAGGCTTAAATAAAAAACAATCAATTATTTGGAAAAAAAAACTCACATGATATGAATTTTATCAAATCAAAAATTTCCAATTGGAAATATTAATAATATAAATTTCTTTATTACAAGCAAGGAAGAAGATGAGAAGCGAAATAAATTTCATACATCATATTCTACTTTAAACAATCCTTGAAATATATTAATGAAATCATATGCACAAAATGGATTAATGATAAGTTAACTTCCGAAATAAAAAAAGTTTTTTTTTTTTTTTTTTTTTTTCTATTATATTATCCGGATTTGAACAGGAGTATTGCGATTTGTCCAATGTAAAAGTAGATGAAATGCTTGGTTTCTGTTATAAGTGTTATTTGATAAATATTATGAATAAATAAATAATATATACGCGTTTATACAATTAATAACATTAAATAAATAAATAAATATTTTTATATAAAATATATATATATATATATATTAATTTTAATTAAGATAAAATATCGTCATCTTGTATTCATCTTGAATTCATCTAGAATTCTAGATGAATAATTTAAATCGGCTCTTTTTTACAAACTTACCGTGAGTCACGTAGCTTCCAAAGTTTCTTCCAACGATGCAGTGCCAAGTCGTTCCATATTTTTTGTCGAACTCACGTTTAATATAGGCTGCAATGTCTTTTTCAATGTTATATTTTTCCAAAGCTTGATTAGCACAATCCAGAGCTTCACGTTGCATCTCATCGACCATGTCAACGTTCTTGATGACTGGTTTATTATTTTCAGACATTTTTTTTTTTTTGTTGATTAATTCTTGTTTCCCTTGGTAAGTAGAAGGTTGTTATATGTTAAATAAGAGTATTGTGGTTTAGGTACAAATAAGAAAATGCTTAGGAAAACAGAGAAATGTTTGAAGTTTTATACGGAACACAACGAAAAACTCGTTTATTTTTTTTTAAGCCTAAATTTCCGAGTGTCGTTACACGAACACGTCATCATAATTTCCGGCAATTACTTTTACCGAAAATTTATTGTAATTAATTTACAAACTACGAGGTACCTCTTTAACGACTATACTTTGAATAGAATCTCCTTCTTTAAAGCCATTGAACCCTTCAAATGACATCCCGCATTCCAACCCTTTCTTTATTTCATTAACTTCCTTTTTCATTTGTTTTAAAGTTTCCAAAGAACCTGTATAGATAAGATAGTTGTATAATCAATTAATAATTCTTTATCAATATAATGGTTTTTGATATAGATTCTCACCTTCCCATATTTGATTATTATCTCTAAGGATTCTGACTTTTTGATTCTTAAATACTGTTCCGTTGGTTATACGGCAACCAGCGACTGGCTTGAATTCTTTGCTTTTGACATTAATTTGGAAAATCTGTAATACCTTAGCCTCCCCTGTGACATGCGTTTCTAAAATAGGTGGCAACAATTTGCCCAATTGTTCTTTAACTTCATCCAAAAGATGATAAATAACTTTATAAAACTTCATGTCCACATTATCTATCCTCGCCTGTGATTGTACTTTTTTGCAAGCTTTAACGTTAAAACCTAATATTATCGCTACCATACGACATGAAAAAATTGAGATAAACATCAAAGATCTTAAATAAAAATAGAATGATTGTGATTGTGTCATTTAAATACCTTTAGCTACGTTTGCCATTTGAATGTCTGATTCTGTTACATCTCCAACTCCAAAATCAATTATTTTGACACATACTTCATTATTTCCTAAACCATACAATGCATCTACAACAGCTTCAGCCGTACCACTCACATCAGCTGAAAAGATAAATAAAATGATTTAATTAAGTCATATTAAAATTCTTTTCGATTTTTTAATAAATTGTCACACACCTTTGACAACAACGTTAAGTCCTTTCTTGTTGGTATCCACTAAAGGTTTTTCTTCCTTTATACTTGGTTGAAGCGGAACCGCCGTTGGATATTCCTTAAGTAAACCTTGATGGAACATCCATACTTCTTTTTTGAAATTCCTCGCATTTGCTCTTTCGGTCTCAAGCTCTTGCTTTCGTTGCCTTCGCTTTTCATTAATTACTTCTAAATCCTTGAGTTGTTGATCTCGTGACCTATTCAATGCTCTATTCGCTACAACAGTTTTGGCGAGTTCCTACAAAAAGGAAAGGCGAGTTATAACAAATCTTGTAATAATCACCTTATATTCAGATATATAACTACCTCATCTTTGGCTTGGAGCACCTCGTCTCCAGCAACTGGTAATTCTTTCCATCCCGTTACTTTAATAGGAGTACCGGGTAAAGCATTTTTAATTATTTGGCCTTTCTCGTCGGTCATCACACGAACTCTACACCAAGTAGTGCCTGCCACTATAATGTCTCCTTGCTTCAAAGTTCCACGTTTTACCAAGACTGTTGCAACGTTTCTAAGATAAAAAAGAACAGCTCAAAATATTAAGAAAAGTTTTAACTTCTTAATAATCTAAACATTTAAGTCTCATACCCTTTTCCTTTCTCTACTTGTGACTCAATGATAGCACCTTCAGTCTCAATATCAACTTCAGCACGAAATTCAGACAATTCAGAAAGCGTTATAATTGCTTCTTCTAGTCTATCCAATCCTTGTCCCTACATTCCATAAAAACGTTACAAATTCCCGTATTTTTTTTTTTTTAAAAAAAAAAAATTCATGGACTTACAGTTAAGGCCGATACTTCAACTGATTGAGTTTCTCCGTCGTATTCCTCTAATTCTACTCCATTGGATAAAAGGGCTTCACGAACCTTTTGCTAATTAATTTAATTATTTCCACCAAAAAAAATCGTTAGATACCTGACGATAATCGATATTTATTTATTGCCTCCATTTACCGGGTTTGCATTATGTCGATCTATTTTGTTGATAGCCACAACCATTGGCACTAATGGAACAAATTGTCATTAAAACACATCTTTATAAATTATAAGGGAGGTTCGGTATATATATCTTTACCTCCAGCATCCTTTGCATGTTTAATAGCTTCAAGAGTTTGGGGCATGACACCGTCATCAGCTGCCACAACCAAAACTACTATGTCAGTTACAAAAGCGCCGCGGGCACGCATTGCGGAGAATGCAGCGTGGCCAGGAGTGTCAAGAAACGTAATCGTTTTTTCCGAAGGCAGCGAAACTAACAGATTTAATGCACACATTTGAAATTATTTCAACAAGAAAGAAGAATTACATAATCATAATTAAACACACCGCTTACCGGAAAAGGCACCAATATGTTGAGTAATTCCACCTGCCTCTCCAGCGGCTATGGAAGATTTTCGCAAAGTGTCTAATAATGTTGTTTTACTAATAAAACAAAAAGGCACGCTTGAAAACAAGGAGCGAAAAAATTTATAATCAAATAATCATGAATCACATACCCGTGATCTACATGACCTAAAATCGCAACTATTGGAGGACGAAGTGGGAACTTGGACATATCGGCTGGTTTCGGCCTTGATATACATTAATACATGAAGATTTTGATAAGAAAAATTAATCAGCAATACCATTTCACAAAAGGAATATTAAAAAAATGTACTTTGGATATAGATCAATTGCGGCTTCAGAATTGACCACAGGATTTAAATCATATTCCATAGCGATCAATGATGCTTCTTCAGCATTCAACACTAAAATAACAACGATTATTAAGATGATCGTGAAATAAATGAAAAAAAAAATAAAGAAATTTCTGAATTAACTTACAATGATCATGCGAAACGTATTCGATTCCAAGATTCTGTAGCTTTTGTTCAAAAGTCGCTACAAAAGGAAACATTCAAGCCTGCATTTATATTAAAATTAAAGAATATAATAAAAAAAAAAAAGTGATTAAATTTTTATTAATGCGTAAACTGCCCACCTAAACGTACGCCAATCATTTTAGCCAAGTTAGCGATGCTAATGGCTTCGGGAATAAATACTTCCCTTTGTAACTTTGGTTCAATTTCTTGAACTTGACTTTTTTTCTTTGGACCATCAACTTCATAATTTACATCAAAATATCCATCTTCCTCATCCCAAAGTTCGCGTCCTTTTTTCAAAGATTTTGGTTTACGATGCTCTGGCTTCTCTAAAACTTTATCTTTTTTAGAAGCGAACTTTTGACGGGTACGAAGTGCAGATGAGTGATCATCGTTTTCAACGTTGATTTCCTGAATCGCTTTTAATTCAGTTAAAGCGGAAACAAAATCAACTTTGCTTTCTAGCTTATGATCAATTTCTTTTTGATGTCGAACAATCGGTGGTCTCATCCTTTTCTTCCCAAAAGGATATTTGTCTATATTTTTACTAAAATACTGCAATCCCGAAGAATTCTCCATAATTCTAGGATCAGTTGAACCGGACATATTGTTTCTAAAACCTGCATTAAATGCTTCTGATTTTTGCGATCTTTCCCTAAAATCTTCAGGACCATTATTAAAATGATCCGTCCTTGATAAATTGTTTATAAAAGGTTTATCCCCCAAATTTTTAGATTTATATCGTGACCAATTTCTTTTTGGCATACCATTAGAAGTTTCACTTTGGCTAAGGTTATTTGATTTATCACATTTTGTGCCAAGTAAGTTATCTTTTTCATTGTTTGAAAATAATAACAAATCCTCACTATTCCTTTTTGAATAATCAACGTTAGATCGTTTTGCGAATAGTGATTTCGGTTTTTCCCACTTATTTTGATTTAATTTATTAACTTTCATGTATGCCCTTGCTATTTGACATTGTCTTGGAGATACATCAGAATCAGGATCGATTATGAGCCGATCATCAGGTTCATCCTTCAATAATTTTGTTGTGTTATGTAATAATTTTGTCTTTCTTCGAAAAATGGCAACATTTGATATCAAAGATGATGGAATTATTCCACGTTTTATGAACTATAAATATCATTGAAGTATTATTTGAAAATTTTAATAAAATCGTCAATTATCTTTCAAAGTTAAATTCTATAATTCCATAAGGGATAATAAGAATATATAATTAAAATATTACTGCTCACCCAAATGTTACCAAGTGATCTTAAATAAGTTTGCGAAAACATTTCCCATTTATCGATAAAACTAACAAATTTTTTACGCTTTAATTTCGTAACACGAAATCAAGTAACACAGCAATATGTGATTTTCAATAGTTTTTTAATTGGGATTCATGTTTTATTTGCAAGAAAAACAATCTTTTCTTCTAATTTCCAATTTTTTTTTTTTGAATTTTAAATTCACGTGATTTATATAAAATGATTTAACATCAGAATTTGCGTGACGTACGTTTCAATTAACATTCTTTTTTTGAGTACGACACCTTTCAAATAAATCGATTCTGGTGTGAATCCAATGTCCAAATATCCGTCGAATACCTTTCGTATTAATGGTCACTCACCTACTTTAAATTTCATACCTTTAACTCTTTGTTTTTAAAAACAATTATATATTTCGACTATTTAAGCAGCCATCTTTTTATTTTTAAATCTACGTCTTTAACATCCGTTAAAACCAGTAGATCGTTGATGGCTGGCAAATACCCAAGGTAAGCTGTTTAAATATTACTATTTTAACTTTTATTGATTTCAACATGATGTTTAAGTGCGATACGCTCGTCGCATAAAGATTTGAGCTGGATTAAGATTTCATCTTTAACGATTGCCAATAAGATTTGAATGCTTAATAAAATTTGAACTTGATTTAATTAACTTGAAGACGAAGGTCGAACTCTTTAAATGAAGAAACGGATAGTCCTACACTACCGCCAATTCCTGGTGACAATGGCACAGAAACCCATTCAACTTCTATATCAGATTCTCCTCCTAATAACTGTCCTACATCAAGCGTGTCAACAACTACCACCTCTTCGCATAGTATACCTAACTCTTCGATACCAGCAACTGAATTACAATCGACACCAACTAATCCTAATTTTAATCATATTAATAATATTAATTCATCCTACGCCGTTACATCACCACCTTATTTTACGGTCACATCCCCCGTTACATCACCTCCAATATCCTCGAATTCTTTTCGACCTCCCTCGCCTGGCCAATCCTTAGATAGAAACCGCCAATCACTAGTATCCTCTAATCATCGTGATTCAACACAAACAAATAATCTAAATAATATAATATCAACGAGACGACATAATCATCATAATCATCATCGAGGAGAGGGAAGACGAAATGATTCACACCTTCCTATCACACCTCATGTAGATCCAGCACCCGCACCTGCTATGTATTGGTCAAAGATAAAAACTTATGGGAAATCGCCCCGAGCACTAAGAGCGCACACTGTCAACTTAGTAGGAGAATTAATGTTTGTCTTTGGGGGTTGTGACGCAAAAACGTGTTACAACTCCGTTTTCATATTTGATGCAGGTATGTATAATTTTATTAATTACATTTTTAAGCATGTATAACGTTATTTATTCAATTTATTTTATGGTTTAATTAGATACAATGTATTGGAATAAGGCTCGAACTATAGGTGAGCCACCGTCATCATGCCGTGCACATTCTTCTACACTGGTCGACAAAAAGTTGTTCATCTTTGGGGGTGGGGATGGGCCCACGTATTTTAATGACCTGTATATTTTTGATACGGGTAGGTATAAATAATTTTGTATATCAAAATTTTTTTTTAGCAAATTAAAATTTTAATTTCATAAAATAATTTAACGCATTGATTTTTTCATTATAGATACACTAACATGGTCTAAGCCCCAAACAACCGGTGATATTCCATCACCACGCCGTGCGCATACTTCAGCTTATTATAACAATAACCTATATATATTTGGTGGTGGTGATGGTGTACGCGCCCTTAACGATGTTTACACGCTAGATATAACAGACTTAAATAATCTCTCGTGGAAGAAACTAGAATCAAAAGGGACACCCCCAATTTCCCGTGGATATCACACTAGTAATCTTGTGGGAAGCAAGTTAGTTGTATATGGTGGAAGTGACGGCCACGAGTGTTTTGGTGACGTTTACATGCTGGATTTGGGTAAATTTTTGTCTAATTTTTAACCTTTTCTTTGGCTTTTATCATCAAATAATAATATATATATTTTTTTAGATGAGAATACGTGGATCCCAGTCTCGGTTGAAACCTCTTGTCCTCGACTTTCTCACACAGCCACACAAGTTGGCTCTTATTTATTTGTGGTTTGTGGGCATGACGGGACGCGGTACACCGCGGAGGTTCTGTTGTTGAACCTCGGTAAGTAAATGATATCACGTATAATTAATTCATTTGAGAATTTTTTTTTCATATTTTGATTATAATTAATTTCTTAAATTAATTAGTAACGATGGAATGGGAAAGTCGCAGAGTTTATGGGACACCACCATCAGGTAGAGGATATCATACAACTGTGTTGTATGATTCTCGCCTATTTGTCTTTGGTGGTTATGATGGCCACTCGGTCTTTGACGATATATTCGTCTTAGACTTATCTGCGTGCGCATATTTGCCGCAGATAACGAACTTCCAACTTCCGGACTATAAAAAACAAAAAGTGTAAAAATAATATAATATATATATATATATTTATTAAAAAAGAATTTTGAAAAGGTTGAAAACTTTTTTTTTGTTGTTTTTGATTTTGTCATACATATATATACACACACACACATATATATCGCGATTTATAGTTTCTAATTCAAGGAAAAATCTTTGTTTAAATATTTAAAATAAATAATTAAAAGAAAAAAAAATTAATAGTTTATTTTACTATATTTGTGATTATTTTTTTTTTTTTTAAAAAAAAAAAATTGTTTTTAAGTCTATTTTTTTTTTTTAAAAAAAAAAAAAAAAAAAAAAAATTTTGAATTTGATAATTTTTATCACTTACTTTGTAATAATCATTTATGCATTTTTTTTTTTTTAAAAAAAAAAACGTGGTCCTTTATAAGAGAAAATTAATTATTACCTATTTAAATCAAATAATAAATGTGTATTGATTCTCGATTTTTTCCAAGGTGTAAGATAATTTTTGTTGTAATTAAATGAAATGAAATGATTTAAATATACTAATATCTAATAATAATTTAAATATATATCTCTCTCACAATCAACTACTTACTTCTCACAAAAATCCCATATGTATTTTATATTCCAATTCTTCTTCCTCTGTCAATGCATCTAGACCTGACCAATTTGCTGAACTTGATCTCGGGCGAAGCCTATATTCTCGTTCTCCAAAGATTTCTATTAATAATAATAAAAAAATAATAAAAACGCGTAAGGATAACATTTTCTTTAAATAAAACGCGTTTTAAAATGAAGATAAACCAACCATCTATATTAAGTGGAAGAATTTTTCCAAAAATAGTTTCGGGGTCAATCGAAGATTGATGCATTAAAGCAGCCTTTAATTCGGGACTTTGCTCCCAATCCTTACGTAGTCGTTTATTTTTGATTTCAACTTTTTCATCTTCGCTAGAATAAGTTATAATAAGAGATTGATCAAATTAAGACGTGTCCAAATGTTTCCACGGATAATAAAACATATCAAACATACTCGCTATCTATTTCTGGTAATTCAATTTGTTTTTTATTAAGACCAAGCCGTTTAAGTTGATCATATAATTGAACTTTTTTACTAAATATAACGCTGGTATTTTCATTTGTATGAGCCGTTCTATCAAGTTCTTTCTGATTTTGTCCTGTTTGATTCTGTATTGTATCTTTTGAAATTTTATTATTATCAATCTTCTTTTTTCTCATTAAATCTGTGTCCTTTAACATAATAGGTAAACATAATGGCATGTGAGAAATGGATCAATCATAATATATGGTGGATTCCGTACTTCACACACCTTTCTTTTCGCGTCTGATATTACATTGACCTTCTTTTTTAACTCATCATCACGATTTTTAAGACTTTGTAGACGTTTTTGTTGCTCTTCTTGTCTGCGTTGACGTGCCTTCTCCCATTCCTTTGCTCTTACAAGCCTTTTATCTTGTTCCTCTTTTTCCTATTAAAATGTAAAAATCCCTTAATATTATTATATAAAAACAAACCAAACATTTTATTTCTATTTACCCTTTTTGCGGCAGCAGCTGCGAGAACCAAGGATTTGATTTCGGGTTTTTCGGGTTTTAATTTTGGTGTATGTTTTACAACAAATCTTTTTAATTGTTGAGTTACACCACCAGAAGAGGTATTCACAATTTCAACATTATTTCGCATAATTTGGCTACGTTCACGCGTAATTAATGTTGGAACGGTTAGACTTTCGCGGGGTTCAATTTCATGTTTATCTTTAAGTTGGTTAGGAATTTCAAGAAGCTCATTTTTCTTTAAATTTTCAACTTTTGTTGTCCGAAATACGATCTCTTGTAGATAATCTCTTAACCAATCGACCTCTTGCTGATATTCGGTTGAAAACTTTTGAAACTTTTCTTCGGCAAAATTTTCAAATTTCTGACGTTCTTTCGTTAGCCAACTCTCGCTTTCTTTAAAAACTTTGTTGGTTATCGCCATCATGTTTTTTTTATATTTAAAGAAATCAACAGGATATAAGGGGGAAAATAAGAAAAAACAACTAGGGATATCTGTCGCGATCCGATCATATGACCGATTTCGGTCCAATCTAAAGATTGGAAATCAGATTGATCTGAAAGTCGGTCTTTACGCGTTATTTTTAATTCTTTTGGCGTAATAAATATGTTGTGTGAAGTAAATTCTCTTTCTAATGATAATAACGAATATGAAGGTACAGTAAAACAACTTCACTCCTTCAAAACATTATTCACGTGTATTGTTTTGGGAGTTAAACAGCAATATATTTATTTTGCTAATTCCGTATTAATACAATTAATCACGTGAAGTAAATTAATTATTTTTCTTGTCAATGATACATCTTTTTATAGCTATATGAACGACAAATTTGAGAGTACATAAACATTTTAGATTAACTTTGAAATGTCACTCACCACTTCAAGTTTCTTTCTTCATTATTAATTTTTTCATTTAAGACCTCTACTCGTTTGGTAATCTTCTCATTTTTAAAGCTTAATCGCTCATCGGATCTCTCATTCATCATCATAAATTTTTCATCAAAAATTCTGAAACTTATCAGAAAGTCTTAATCGCTCATTCATGACGTGTAGCTTATTGAACCTCTCGTTAAAACCATTAATTTGCTAAATCGAAACAAGATGTTAAATATTTCATATATAAATAATGCTATATCTAAATTTTTTACATACATTTTTTAACTTTAATAATTCGATAAACTGATGACATAATACAATAAATTGTACATAATATAACGCGTGAAATTTTCGAAGGTTTAATTTCCTAAGAACGTTGTAAAATTTCCTTACCATAAGCTTCAAAATGTTAAGCATTTTGAAAATTTCAAGATTTTTTTCTTTGAAATTTTTTTTTCAATATTAAAATCCTTTTATATATTTTATTTGAATTTCTTGGTCATGCTTTTTTTATGACTACACTTGAATTGTCTAACTTAAAGTGTAATCAATAACTCCCGAATTATTTAATAAATTTTAAAGCTCTTTTATAATTGAATTTGATTATCTTAAATTAGCATTTCTATGATCTTTTAGATCTCTTAGATCTTTTAGATTCATTTTAAGAATTTGCAGCTTAAATAATTAATTTTAAATAATTAATTTTAAACACTTAAAGATAATCCTATTTTCTTACATATTAATATACAATTTCTCACTTTATTTAAGTTTTCAAATAGCAAAATTAGTATTCAGTATTATTACTTTTCTAATAATTCTTTTTGCTTTAGTTCTAATATTTACACTTGCTTGAGATTCTTCTATAATAAGTTTAAAATAATTGCTTTTTATTTTATACAATTATTTCTGAATTAAGTGATTAGATTGAGTGATTGGATTTGTTAAATTTAATCTTATTTGAAAGATTCAAAATCTATTAAATCTGCTTATTAAAGTTTAATAAGAATTAGATTAGTTGATATTAAGATATTAAGATATTTATGTTTAAATATCATTATAAAATTAAAACTTTATATTTTTAACTAAATTATTTAATTTTTTAAAAAAAGAATTAAAAAGAGTTGCTGATATAATATATTTTATTTTCAAATAAGTGTATTTTAGTAATTTAATACTCAAAAAAGTTCAATATAGTATATATTAACATTAATATAAAATTTTAATTATTTCAAAAAATTTTAAAATTCAAAATTTTCTTAATAATAATTTTCAAACAAATTTTCTATATTTTATAAATAAAATTCCATTTCTATTTTACAGTCACTTTGATATAACAAATAGATACCTAGATTGATTGGGTCTTTATAAAAAAAATAAATTGATCTACAATTCATTCAGAAGTATTTTCAAATTTGAAATTGATTCTAAAATATTTGATGATCTAAAAAAATTTTTTTTTTACAGAAATTAGTTTTAGAATCCACAAGACTTTTTGTAAAACAGTTTTCTTTGAAACCATATTTATAATTTTTTTTGCTAATAAGTATCCAAAAAGTTAATTAGTATAATAATAAACTAAAATAGCAATGTGTATCAACCAGTGCTGCAATAAATTGAATATTAATAATAATAAAGAAATATAATATTTGAATAATTTATTTATTATTTATAATGTATTCAAAAAATTTGTACATTACTAATTAGTCTATTATTAAATAAATATTAAGATGTTTATTATTAAATGAAATACTATTGCTATTTTTTAAATTACATAATTAATGAAAAAAATTTGTGAACAAATAAGTAATAAAGCTAAGTATTAATTTAAAAGACATCTATAATCCAAAGATTCATAAAAGTCATTCTTAAAAAAGAAAGAAAAAGAACGTTAGAAAAGTTTTTTTTCAAAGAAGAATCCCATTTAAAATCCATCTTTCAAGAGCTAATCCAAGAGAAATTCGATTATCCAAATGGTCTTAGAAGCTATTTTTACAAAAAAGAAAGAAAAAAGAACATTAAAAGTGCTCTTTATCAAAGAATAACCCCACCCATTCAAAACTTACATTCAAGAGTCGATCCAAAAGATTCTGAGATCCAAATGTTCTTGTTACTAAAAAAAAGAAAGGAAAAAGAACGTTAATAATGTTCTTTCTTTCTTAATGAATAATTTCACTTGCTTAAAACTTACTGAAAGAAAAGGGAGGGGGAGAAAAAAAGAAAGAAAGGAGAGGGAGAGAAAAAAAAGAAAGAAAGGGAGAGGAAGAGATGGGAGAGAGAAAAAAAATGTATAATTTAAATTTAAAATAAATATGGAAAAAAATATATTCGATAGAGTATAATTTAGAATGATCAGCCAATTTTCATAAACTTCTAGAATGTCAATCAACATTGTATTTAGAAATTCTGTTTTGGTAAATCACTGATTCAGTTCTTAAACTGGTTCTTAGGACTCTAGACTATATTAGGTCTAGACCTAATTTTCATGCTAAATTGCTTTTAGTTTTATCTAAGATTTTACAATATTCTGTATATATAAACTCTGATCACCTATTGCAACTTCCTTCAGATCAACCATTACTAGAT